ACATTCACTTTTCTACATCCCGGGTTTTAAAACGCCGCCCCTCACCACATTTCACTAATAGCTAATAACACAGCCCCCATATAATCACAGTCTGCTAGTACACGCCTATGCCGTCTAACCCACGCTATCCGACCATGGCGCGAGGCCATGGTCGACGCGGCCGCGGCCGCGGCCGTAGCTAGTCGTCCATAAATCACGATCCACGCACGCCAGAGCCCGACACGGCGGTACAGACCACGAGCACTAACGACAAGCCGCGCCCTGCTAGGCGCAAGCGGTATCGAGCAAAGGACGACCTAGAGCAAACCATCATCGGCTCCCATCGCGTGGTCTGGGTCACGCGGCTAAAGTACGTGCTAACGGACTTTAGCACCGCTGACTTTAGCATCCACTTCCTAGAAGTTAATATAAAGCTCCCGACGATCACGTAGGTGGAGGCGCGGGCGCAAAAGGCTCTGAAGGAGCATAGCCAGAAGGAAATCTTCTGTACTATCCAGGTCGACCCGCATGGCTCGGCCACCGGTGCGCATGTTAAAGCGCTGCTATTCTAAGACTACAACATATTGATCCTGTTTCTAGACACCTAAGGTAAGTTATACTTTTATAAACTAGTTTATATTCTTCTATAAACCAGGTTCTAAAATAGCCTTAAAATCTATGTACTAATGTGCTTAGTAGTGTGCGATATCCTCAACCTATATCTCGAGTGGTTTAAGGACGCTAAGAAGAAGGTCACGTCCCTCGGGGCTAGTAAGATAATAGAGCGAGATAATGCGAGGAAGGAGTAGGACTCCTACCAGTCGTCGGACCCTTTTTTCACAAACGCGGCTGGCATAGCGGAATTCGCAGCCAAGGCCAGGCTGATACAGCAGACGGCGATGGAGCACGGCACGGAGGACGAGGCGCCGCTTGGTGCTTCGTCGGGTATCATTAGTAAGTTAGAGGGGGACGTGTTCTAGTTTATCGAGCTTATAACGACGACGATAATTCGACCCGCGTTCCTTATGTGGGTCGACCAGAGCCACGGGGAGACGCATGGCGCGCTCGACCTCCAAAAGACGATGTTGTTGATGGCCGCTTAGGTCATGATCTTCGCCCAGAAGCGACTTCCTGGCCCCGACGTTATGTATTCACGCAACGGGGCACGCTTCCCTATCCCCAGCTACCTAACCCACGTACCCGAGGATAAGTGGCCTAAGATGTTTTTATACAAGTATTCGGGGGATGACTTATACTCTTGCGTGATAATTACGCAGATGGCGATGTTTCGATGGCTCGATCCCACGAAGCGCTACGTTAACACAGTCCACAGCAGGAGCACGGCGCGATACGACGGCCACGCACACCCACATAAGAAGGAGATAACGGAGGATACTCAGCGTATAGAGGACACGCCTGAACAGGCCGTTGCGCGGGACTCTACGTGCCTCGAATTGGCACTCCGCGGCGTCGAGTCTGCGTGGGAGCCGCCGACAAACATCGACGAGGAATTCCACTGCCCCCAGGCGGTCCCTAGGCCGGTCCTGGAGGAGCAAGTGCCCGTAGATACTACGATAGAGTTCCAGAACAAGGTGGTGATATTTGGGACGTCTGCCTGGCTAAAGCGAGACCTCAAGGCACGGTTCGAGTCGCGGGGCCTCGAGCCTTTTAAGGCCCTAAATAAGCTGACGCTAAGCTCTATAGTATCAGGTGCGAAGGTAATACACACGGATATAGAGGTGTTTAGGACCACAAACCAGACTTCGAGGACAAAGGCGATATTCTCCAGCGCGGACACCACGGCGAGCGTCGATTATTTCTTAGAACTAGTTAGAGTATCGTCCGTGTATAAGGATATCGTCTGCTAGGACGATGGTTAACCTAAGAACCAGGCAGACGCCGACAGGGTCGACAAGCAGTATCGATAAAGCTTCTGGCTCGATAACTTCCTTCGCGAATATCATCCCAAGCCCGATCCGGATTTCTTGGCCATCTGTCGCCGCTACAAGATTAACCGCTAATTACGCATGCACTAGGGCAGTAACGAAGTCCCTCTCAAGCCTCATTAAGTTACCGGTACGTATAGTTAACTGTTTTAGAAACTAGGTTATAGAACGGCTTTATTCTATTTTATAACCTGGTTTCTACAATAGGCTCTTTTTTCTTCTTCTAAAACCTAGTTTCTAAAATGCCCTTACTAACTACTCCTAGATTTATACTTTATTACCGATCGATCGATCCAGGGGCACAGCCTCTCTGTGCTCGCTAACACGATAGGTTCGGGCAAGACGGCTACAGTCGCGAGCGCTATTAAAGGATATGTTCGGGTATAAGAGGAGGTTTTCTAGAAGAAGATCCTCCCGTGGGCGCAAAAGACCTTCTAAGACGAGTACGACGCGGAGACGGCTAAGGCGACTAGGTAGATAGTTGATTTTAAGACCTAGCTTCGTGCGGTAAAGACGCCAGAGGCGATAGAGCTGCCACCCGAGGAGGCGTGTCTCGAGATAGGGCTCCCCGTCTTTCGCCCGAATCTCCTCCTCACGTCGGTCGCCACTATAGCACAGGCCTATGCCGACTTTAGGAAGTTCACTCCTAACGCACGTATATATCTCTTCTACGGTGCAAAGGCGTATCCCGATATCGCAAAGTCGTCGGTCATTAGGGCCAAGGACATCGGGCGGGAAATGGCCAAGTTAGAGAAGGCCAAGTTCCTGCCTAGCACTAGGCGTATAACGATCTCGTCGATATACTATATATTCCACACGCGAGTCTTTAGGACACTAAAGCAGCTAGCGGCGTTCGAGGAGGGGTCGTCGTATTCGAGCCTGCCCACGCTGGCGGATTTGCGCGAGGAGCAGGGCCAGCACTCTAGGCCGGCTATCCTCCCGACTTTTAACCCAGATAACCTCGAGCGACGCGAGGCCTGGCACGTCGAGACTAATAAGGACAAGGCGCAGGCTGTCATACTATCATATAAGTTCGCGAGCGACGATATAAAGAAGGCGCGGTTTGGCTAGGTCGTCTTAGACGAGGCGCATACCCTCCGCAACACCACGTCGGCCTTCTAGTAGACGACGCTAATACTACAGAAAGAGTATGTGCTATGGTGCACAGCGACGCCCCTCTATACCTCGCTAAAAGACTTAATAGGTCTCCTCGACATATGCTAGGGGATGGCGACGCGCGAGCACGCCAAGGACGACGAGCCCAACGCGTGGCGCGGCGAGCTCACGATAGGCCTGGCCA